CTGGAGTGCCCTTGTGGCCTCCAGTACGTGGGCATGACAACTACGAAGCGTAAAATCAGAATTGCAGAACACTGCAGGAATATTTTAAAGGATTTTAGTAATCATACAGTATCCAAACACTTCTTGGTACATAATAAATATCCAAAATTCCTAAAATATTATGCCATAGAAGTTTGTACTTTACCTTGGAGAGGCGGCAATATCAAATAAATTCTTGGGCAATGTGAAATGAAGTAGTTCTTTTAGTTAAAACCATTAATTCCCACCAGTCTTAACGCAGATTTTGGTTGATTTAATTTTTTATGAACCTTTTTTATAACCCCCAATTATTATTGATTATTTATTTATATTATTAATTATTTTTTTTATTACCCACATATTTTTATCATCCCCATAATTCATTATTATCCCCATTTCTATGTTTTATCTTATATGTCACCTTTTTTCTTTTTCCCTTCTTTTTATTATTTATTTTTTATTCTTAATTCTTTTTCTTTTCATTTCCTTTTACCTTCCTTCCCCCTTCCTGTTATATTCATATGCTGCATTGACTTTATTATTTGCATATCTTTTTATTTGTATCTCTTTTTTTATTTGTATATCTTTAATTGTAATGCCCTTGTGTTTATGTCAAAGTGGCATGTATCTCCTCCCGCCACCTGATGGCGCTGTTCGCCACTAACACCTAGTTTTCTAGGTATCTCCATAGCAGTGGAGTATTCAGCTACTTAGCGGGCACCATTTTGGAGAAGCCCAGCTACCCATAAAGAACTTACATCAACCCATAGCCCCCATAACTAATAGGCTTTTTTTTTTTTTTTTTTTAAAGAGACAGAAAAGTTCCTGTGCCAGGGACGATCATGTGACGTGGCCCGCGACACCATCTTGAAATGTAAGTTTACATTAAATAAAGTTCATTTTGAGTAAAAATAATGCTAATTTTATTAATATTTTTACCCTACTTTCTTCCCTTCACCCCTAACTCCCTAACCATCTATTGTTTGTATCATTTTAATAAATGGTACTTTTAACAACTATTCAAAGTTAATTGGTGTTGGTCATGTGACTATGATGTCACAAAATCATTAGTTTTGAATTCAACTACCCTATTTAAGCAGCTATGGTCCCAGTTACTCTGTAAACACGTTTGAGAAAGCTAACGATTTAAGTGAAACGCGTTAGGTGTATTTTATATATTGTTTTATATATTTATTTTATTCTGTTACTTCTTATTATTTTTTATTATTACCCCTTATGGGGAATGAAGACCAAATGTACACATTGTGAACAAAACAAAATGTAAACAAAACCTGGCATTTGCGCTACATGTCTGTCCAACCGTAATTCACCTCTTTCATATTAAATGCACCCACCCTTATTATATATCATTTTATTCAGGGGAAACAGGGCTTTCATTTAATATCAAATATTTAGCTATGAAACTTAATTTAATATGAAAAAAATGGGAGAAAATAAGATTTTTTTTTTTTAGTTCTACGTGACATTTTAACTGTCAATGTCATAATACTGTTTGCTTTTACTGCAATAAAATACACATATTTGTATTCAGCAAAGTCTCACGTGTAAGACAGTACCCCCTATGTACGGTTTTATGGCGTTTTGGGAAGTTACAGGGTCAAATATAGC